TGGGGCAAACTCTAATGCTGATCTTCCAATTGCTCACCAACATATATATAAGGGAGAGGGGTGAGCTAGAGCCCATTGGGTAATACCAAAATAAAAAAGGTTAATGAATGAAGCCCATCATAATATAAAATATGTCTTACATTTTCGAAACAAAAATTGTATCATTTTCAAAACCAAGCATTTGCCATATCTTATATTTCCAACTATCATATAACAAATTCAAATCAGACATTTGTCATTTCGAAATCCATACATTTTCAAATGAATCATATATCAAATTTAAACAAAGCATCATACGTGGTTACATCTAGTAGAGTAAGAAAGGGGCCCGAAGGCCTAAATCAAAGGGACCGTAAAGGTCTAGCGAACGGATAACTTGGGTCTAACATCAAAGATCTCTGTAATTCTATTAATCAAAGGGCCATGGTATTTTTTTTCCCATATGAGGGTCTCACTAAAGGATGCCATGAATACTTGTCACAAAGGGACATTCATTCATTCATATAAAAGACAATTTCATAAACATGATTCTTGAAGCATTTTCAAAATACTTTATGAGTCTATCTTTATAGAGATAATACTCACAGTGGGCTTGAGCGAATATTGCTTCTTGCTCAAGACCAATTCCTTATTAACTTGCTCAAATCTTCTAATTCTATAAATATGATTCCAAAACTCTCTTAATTCATGAGGCACGGAGGATTCTTTACAACATATGAGCATAAATTCCTTACCTAAAGCTTCAATTTCAGGAATAGAAGTGATTTCCCTCTTTGTTTCTTCAATTCTTCTTCAAAATCTTGTACTTCTCACTCTAATGGTGATCTCTCTCTCTCTCTCTCTCTCTCTCTCTCTCTCTCTCTCTATACAAAGCTCCAACAGAGCGATTAGAGAATGAGCTTAGCCTCTCTTCTTCTTACTCACAAATAACACACCTCACTTCTTGACACCACAATACACACATGGACACTTCCTTGAGCTCCAGCACAATAATTGACACACACGCACGCACGCAGACACACACAACACACACACACACACACAAGGGTATAATCCTCTACACACCACTTCACAATTAATCACATGAGTAGGATTAGATTACCTCTTGATCACACAATTAGCTTGATTAAACCATACTTTGTCTTAATTAATCAATCCCCACATAACTCAATTAGTCTAATTAGCTTCACTTAAGACCCAATCAATCATATTTGAATTTATCAATCTGAATCAGATTTTTAATTAAACTTTCAAAAGACTCCAAATATAAAATTAAACTTATCTCGCTCATCAATTTTGGTTTTTCAAATCATTAAAACCTTCAATTTTAGATCAAACTTGAAATTTCACTCATTAAATTACATATACAAATTAGATACCTCCCTTGTAAATTCAGTTCAGAATAATCCCAATTTCCAGTCTTCATAACTTAATTAGCTTATTTAATTTCAATTTGAATCCAATTAATCAAATCTTAATTTTACAAAACTGAATCGAATATTTAATTAAACTCCCATATGGTTCAATACTTGTAATTGTACTGATCCAATCCATCAATTTTACTTTCTTAAGCCATTTAGGCCTCCAATTTCTAATTCCAAAATAAATGCTGAACAAGTTCATATACGAATCAGACTCAATAATGCTTACGAATTCCACAATTAATTCAGAATAATAGGGAATTAAAATTCAAATCTTCTTAATTCATTAAATGCCAAATATTATACGTTTTTGGGTTTTCACAATATCTCACACCTCCATGGTACCGGTTGTTAGTCAAAAGGAAATTTAGAGCTACTATATATCACGACATAATTTATCGAGTGCTAACCAGAAGGAAATTGGAACCTCTATATAGCATACCAGCACACACATTTCGAGTGTACTTCAAATTATTTTCATTTATCACCATTCAAGTTACATAGTCAGGCAACTCATAAAATCCATACACTGCTATCACCCCATAAATTTTTACTTCACTAATCATTAACAATTGGGTTTCAATCCAACTTAGGTTGAAATATCTCTACAACAATGCAATCCTCCACCGATTACCAAAAATAATTATCTCTATCAAAAGTAGTCCATCAATTTCCAACATTTCCAAGTAGCTCAATGAATAACATTCCTCATCAAGTTCACATATAAAAATGATATTTTCGAATTTTCTAAATTGATAGAATTCAAGTAATTTATTTATTTATTTTTGTCCAAAATTAAGGACTTCTGACAATTTTAAGTTTTTTCTTCACATTAAAGGCTCAACATGCAATAAAGCTTTTGAAATTTACTTTTAATAAAGAAAATTTTGACAAATACTTAATAAATATCAAACCCTAGGTTGTTATATCACATGCTTCGAAATCTCTATACATTTCCTAAATTTATGTAAGAAATACCACATATCCATCTGTATAATTATATTAAGAAAAATGAAAGAAATCCATACCTCAAACTAGAAGTGGAGGAGGGAGATGCTAAATACTCCAAAATACTCCAAACGAAAAATCAAGCTACATGAAGTTGATGCCCTCAATGAGTTCTACAACTTTAATAAACAAGTTTTTGCGAAAAACTCACTCTAAATAGATGAATTTCAAGATAAGTTTTACAAAGAGGCGCATCTCCCTATTTTAGAATCAGAAATTGGTCAATTTTATATCTAAAATGAAGTCTTGGAAGCAAGCTTTCCAACGATTCTAGCCTCACAACTAGATTCAAAGTGTGGAGAGAGAAAAGAGCAAAGGAGTGAACACTACTCAAAAATAAATATTGAAATTTTAGAATTTTTGGTTCAATCTTGCCCAATTATCATGTTAACACATGCATCAACCAAGGCTCTAAATATGTCCTAATTATAATAACTAAAGGTTAAATACAAATCCATCAATTTCAAAAGTCCGAAAATAATACAAGTACAAGATAATGGGTATCAATAAATATAAACAAATTTAAGATCCGAAATTCTACCTTTATTGTTAATCTTGTTTAAAAGATTTAAAAAAAAATCACATATATCAATCTTGTTAAAAATAAATTTGCAAAACAAAAGTTATGAGAGTTAAAAAAAAATTTTGGCTCAAAATACATATAAAAATTAAAATAATATAGACAAATATGTTAAAATAATTAAAACATATAAAGTAAAATTATTGGAACAAATTTTAAAATAATAAGTGTTTTGTCACTACCACAGAACATGTTACCTTTTCACATGATCACATGTACAGCTGCCCGAGAGCTTGAAAGTTGCTAAAATGGGCATCTTACAAGAGAGATTGTTGGGCGAAATTTGTGGATAAAATTATAAAATCAAATCAAGAATTATGAGATTTTATTAAAATAAAATGAAATATTATTGATAATGAAAATATATGTTAAATAATTTTGAAATTATTACAGAAAAAATGATAAAACTAATATATTGCATGTTTTTATGCTAATATAATTAGACGATACACTAGTAAAGGGAGTTCATACTCAAATTTTTTGATAGATATACCTATCACTATAAAAGAAATTATAGTTTTAGGGACCAAAATTTTGGGATAAAATTATTTTTTAGGGACTAAATATTTTTTTTTGCGAAAAGTGTCGTCATTATATTTTTAACAACGAAAATTAAACATTAGTGATGAATTATTGTCAATTTGGAACCAAATTTTTTATCTCAAAAAATAAACCATTTTGAGACCAAATTATTTTTTTCCTAAAAGGCGATTTATTAGTGACATTTTTAAAATTTTGTCGCTAAGATCTTTTTTTTTTTTACTTTTTGTGACGATCTTTTAGTAACTATCCTCACGACGATAGAAGTTGGTCCCTAAATGTATTTTGTAACAAAATTTTCACTTTTAGAGATCAAAATATTTAGTCTCTAAAACTCTTATATGTTGTAGTGTATATAATAGATAAAAAATATTAAAAAAATTAATAGGATCAGGACCGTAGTATATTTAGGATCGCCAAAAAACGTATAAGTATTTTAGAGACTAAATCTTTTTTGTCAAAAAAAAAAAAAAAAAAAAACGTATGCAACAATTTTGAAAATGTTGTAGTTTTAGGAAGAAATAAATTAGTGCCAAAATGGTTTACTTTTTAAAACAAAAAGTTTGATCCCAAAAGGATCCAATTTTTTTTTACTGAAAATGTAACAATTGTACTTTTAACAACTAAAATATTTAATTCTTAAAAAGTGATTTTATTTTTAAAATTTTAATTTGATGTAGTAGATTTTATGATTAGTATTATAGTTGCTTTAAAATTTTACAAAATTTAATATCTTAATGTGATTTGAATAAGAGAGAGAGAGAGAGAGATATGGGGCCTCATTGACATTGAGGAAAGTGTCATGTAACTAATTGGCAAGGGCCCTTGAGTTTTTGAAGCGCCAATTTGAAAACTACATGGAATTGGACACACCTTATATAATTATATTAGTGACAGCAAAGAATGATAATTTGTTCACAATGTCACCATCCATGTCTACCCTCCAACATGTACAGGAGTGACTGATGAACGGCATACGTAACTCACCTCTTCATCATACAAATTCACTCTTTTTTTATTTCTAACTTTTTTTCTTTTTTTTTTTTCCTTCCTATTCATTGGATATTATCAAGTTTTATGAACGTACACAAAGAGAAGAAATTGGATACAATGGTGAACTTATTTCAGGTTTATTAATAAAACACTAAAACTATCCGTTTGATAATTGTTGACACCATAGTTTATTTTAATTTATCATTGTGGCTTGTTGATTATGGTCAAATTTAATTTAATTAATTGTGGCCTATCAATTATGATTTATGGATTCATTCTATAAACCATCTTTAAATAGTGAAAGCCACATTTATGACTATTATTATTAGTATCATCTTTATCATTATTATTATGGTTGCTAGTTTTGGGCAAAATGTGAAGGAATTAGGTTGGTGGTCAAACATGGGATATGTATGATATTGAGAAAATCATGAGTTTAAATTACCCCCTTTTCTCTCTCTCTCTCTCTCTCACTCATGTGGCTAAACCTATAAATAGGCCAAAAGATATACAAAGAAAAGACGCACAACTCAACTCACATAACATGATTTTTAGTAGTTTCTATGTAAGAGTAGTCACTTAGCATTTAGGAGTAGTTCAGCTATACCTTGTTACTGTCGATCTATAGATTGATGTAAGTTTAGTTTCTTTGTTCTTCTTTCAGTTCATATAACTTATGGCAAGTGATAATTTTATCAGTTTTATATCAATTTATTTACTTTTGTTCATATTCTTCTTTACTTATTTTTCTCCAAAGAAGTCTTTAACTTGTTCAAGACTTAGAACTCAACCAAACTTCCTGATCTGTTATTGTTTTGTGAAGATTTTGCTTTATCTGTTGATTGGCTTCTGTCGATCTCACTCAAACTAATTTTTTGCTAAAATAAATTACTACGCCTTGTGGGACCATTTTAATTTGGAGTTATGGCAATGAAGAAGCAGACTGATGCATATGGAATCATGCCTTCAAGTGCCATGTTTATATCTTGTGCACCCACAGATGCAAACCACTAATGGATTGTCAATGTTCCCATGGATACAGATTATCAATGGAATGGCTTATACTCCATGTCTAAAAATTGTCAGTGTTATGGTGGTAGTTGTACCAATTGTTGCCAACATGATCGTATGACAAATTACATGGAAAGAATGATTCGACGTTGTTAGGATGAAATTTATCGGTGCAAAAGTGAAACTTTGGCCCTACAAGGAGAAATTAATTCTCTTTATCGGAAAGGCATAGAACTCAACCACATTGCCTGATCTGTTATTGTTTTGTGAAGATTTTGGTTTATCTGTCAATTTGCTTCTGTCGATCTCATTCAAACTATTTTTTTGCCAAAATAAATTGTTACACCCAGTGGGATTGTTCTAATTTGGAATTATGGCACTGAAGAAGTAGGCTGATGCATATGAAATAATGCCTTCAAGTGGCATGTTTACATCTTGTATACTCATGGATGAAAACCACCAATGGAGTGGCAATGTTCCCATGGATATAGATTATCAGTGGAATGCTTTATACTTCATGTCTAAAAATTGTCAATGTTATGGTGGTTGTTGTACCATTTATTGCCAACATGATGGTATGACAAATGACATGGGAAAATGATTCGGCATTGTAAGGATGAAATTTATTGGTGCGGGAGTGAAACTTTGGCCCTACAAGGAGAAATTAATTCTCTTTATCGGCAAAGATTTCAAGTAATTTGATCATCTTTGTATTATTTGATGCAAAGAGATTTAGATTACTTTGATTAAAAAATTCATCAACTTGAAGGCCAAATTTACCTAATTGATTAAGAAATTCGACATTTGGAGTAGAAATTCGAAGGCATAATAGCCAATAAAAAATTAAGGTATGAAAATAATATGACTCGTAAACTTAATACACCTGCTTTTAGAGAGCCAATTATTTATGAAGAGTCAAAGTATGTGGCTCAGATGGTTAATACACTTATTTCCATAGAGCAAATAATTTATGAAGAGCCAAGATATGTGGCTCGGGAGGTTTATTTTTAAATAGCCTACTATTAATAAAGAACCAAGGTATGTGGCTTTTTGGGTTAATATACCTGTTTTTAGATAACCAAGTCATAAAGATAAAATGAATAGGGAAGGTTTTCATAATTCATTAATGGCTAAAAAAGAAAAACAACCAATTTTCTCCAAATATATATATATATATATATATATATTAAAAATACATCACAAAATCATAGAAAAAATTCATTTAGGATGCATATTTTTTGCCAAACATAGCAAATGAGTGACCAGCCATTACTGGCTAAAAAACAAAATGTCAAGCCCTGTATTTTAGAACTCGATTCACATTATGATATCTATCATCATTTGTCATTTTCATAAATAAAAGTGCAAAAGCTATAACATTAACTAGAATAAACAATAAAAGTTCACTCTCATATGTACATGATAACTCATTAGTTTCAATGCATTCACAAATGCCCTTCGGCTTACACAGTCATAAATAAAGAGGTGTTACCCTGATTACAAAAGATGCCAACCACTCTACAAATAAAGGCCCTATGACAGAAATAAATTAAGGGAGCTTCTGTAATGCCCCAAAATAAATAGACATTCTACTCCCGTATAATATTACTATCATGCGGAGCACAACAATAATATGATTATACAACATGATTTCCAACACGTGCCTAAGTACATTCTTTTAGCCCTACAACATGAAATCTTATTAAAATGAATAAAATTAAACTATTACAGGTTAATGCCTCAAACGCTGCAAATTTCCAAGGCCTTGCCGGGTTACAACATATGAGTCACAACTATAGCGATCATGATTTGACCCGACCCATTTATTGCTTTTGAATCTGGGAAACCGTATTCGTAGCGGTTGTTCTTCTTCTTATTATGTTTGATTTCTGCTTCAGGGGTTGACACTAGTTTTGGGGGTGTCGACATTGCCTTCCTTTTCTTGTTTTGTTCAGCTTCTAGGGTCGACATTAATGATACTAGGGTCGACCCTTGCCTCTTGCTTTGCTCTTGGTATTGCTACTAGTTTTTGGGGTCAACACCTTGAGTTCCTAGGGTCGACCATTCCCTTACTGTTTTGTACTGGGTTGTCTACCGAAATATAGGGTTGACACCACAGGTTCCTAGGGTCGACCCTTATTTGCTACAAACATAAATGCCTCAGCATTTCTTCTTGAGGATCGACACCACTGCCTTTGGGGGTCTTTGATTTATTCTTTTCATTGACTTTTGTGATATATCCTACTGTTATAAATAGACCCAAACACTCTTTTCTGTTTCATTCCTCTCTCTCTCTCTCTCTCTCTCTAAAACTCAACTTTTCTCTCATAGATCTCTAGATCTACTTAGTTTGAGACATCTTTACACCTTGGTCCTTTGAGAAAGGTTGTAAATCATGTTAAAAGCTTCCTTTTTGTCCAAGAGGTTCGTGATTTCATCAAAGTTGAGTTTTTTCAAGTTCTCCTCTTCCACCTTTGCACTTGAGTTAGGGATTTCTAGACCTTTGGTATGATTTTTACCCTATTTATTTGTTATTTCAAAAGATCTGTGGATTTGGGGTTTTGGGTTAAACTTAGGGTTTAGATTTGAAATGTAAAAGAGATATTTTTCAAATGAGTTCTTGAACAAGGTTATGATATTGTATTGTGGTTGAGATATGTTGAAATAGTGGCTTTCCTTTACTGAAACGTGATTTTGAAAGAAAATGAGGTTTTGTTCTAAAACTATGGGTTTTGGCTTGTGTTGGAAAACAATGAAAAATGATATTGGTTTTTGTAATATTGGGAAGAATGTGCACATTGATGATGATGGTGGAGTTAGATATGTAATATCGCTCACATCTTGGAAATGATGAAAATATATTTATTGTTATTGAAACTTTCTATTGGTTAGAAATATCTATTTTGGGCTATCAGTGGAGGATAGCTTTGATTGTTGTAGAAATTGCATGAGAATTAGGTGAACCAAAACTAAATCATCAACCATATCGCATTGAGCATTGTTGCATATTTAATCATTGAAAATGAATTTGTTTTAAGAGAAAGGGGTGAATACATTGGTAAATCTAAGTAAGTGATATGGTTCCTTCAAATTAAGTTGGCCTGTGTGTCCATGGTGAAAGTCCTAAAAATCGTGCGTATATATGGGTACCGATTCCCATAGAAGAAATTTTCGTGAAATGCTAATAATAGTGCTTGTATAGCCTACGTTTACATGAGTGCTGGTTTATGGTTTCCTACGAATGAAATTTCCATGAAAGGTTCTATTTGTTTAGAGATTCACAATGTGTTGTATTCACCACCCTGTTACTAATGTGAAAAGATTATTTCATGAATTGATATATAATCTGGCATTGCATTGTTTTGAGATGGAAATGTGGAATTGTTTTACAAGGGCATGGCATATGCATTCACCGTATAAGTTCATTAAGATTCATACATTATGTTGTTGTATCTCTACTGGGCTTTGGCTCACCCTATGTGGAAAAACAATTTCAGGTGTTGATGATATGCCTCTACCAAGAACTTAGCTTGGGAGGACTAAGAGTTAAAGGCTTCCTTTTGTGAGTTGTTGTAATTATTTTGTAACAAGCCTAGGGCTTTATTTGTATTGAGTTGAAACTCACTTTTGATGTAACCAAGCACCGCTTGGAGAGTTGTAGCTGTTATGGCATTTAATTATTTGTTCTACTTTTATTCTATTTGTTCGTATGCAGCATATGCTATAGATTCATGATTAGGGCTTATGAATGTATAACTGCATACGTCACCTTTTGAATAATCAATTTATATGAATGGAAGGAAATCATTTGGAAATGTATCATCATTTACTGTATATGGTGAAATGGGATATCATTATTATTTCGGGGCTTCACAACTTGGAATCAGAGCGTACCAGGTTTGCATACTTTGGGTACGTAGGAAGTGGTTCTTACCACAATGAGTTTATCTCGCTTGATGGAGATAATTATATGTATGGTATCTATGTGATAACATGCTTTTGTGACTAAGTGGGTATGAAATTTCATTTCTAAGATATTGATTGTGTCAACGGGCTTCTAGAAGTCCTGTTAGAAGAGCACTTGATCATTGCTATTTCTAATTAGAACTCTGACAACATCACAGAATGGTCATTATCTAAAAAGGAACTTCATTTGTGTTTATGTGATTATGTGCTTATGTGGAGTGAATTAATTGTTGTCCACTGTATTAGGACATGAGTGAGTTAACTTCAACACATATGTGAATGTGTTAATTGGTCGTGTTACCTTTAGTAAGATGTCAGGACATGATAGTGCTAAGCGTGGCAGGCCATGCCATTACCAGATGAAATTTCAACACAAGAGGAAGGAGTTGGCCCGACCAACGTGGCCAAACCAATGGATCAGCAGGCCATGGGTGCTTTGGCCTGTGAAATGGCCGAGGCTTTGCAGGAATCTATGGATATTCTCAGGGCTGACAATCAAGTCCAGGCCAATGTTGCTAAGACAGGGCCATCTTTCTTGAAGAGGGAGTTCTTCCGGTGTAATACGGATAAGTTTTTTGGGTGATCCAATAGAACCGCTAAAGGCAGATGAATGGCTCGAGCAAATATTGAAAACGTTTGAGATGCTTGGTATCGAAGACGATAGGCTGAGAGTGACCTTGGCATCCTTCTAGCTGAAAAGAGATACGGGTTAATGGTGGAAGTATGTGCATGGGTGCATTGAAGTTACTTGGAAGGCCTTTGTTGATGCCTTCCAAGACAAGTTTTTGCCTCCCACTGCTAGGGAGAAGTTGAGATATCAGTTTCTGAAGCTCAAGCAGTTGAGCACACCTGTAGCTGAATTTGAGGTAGTTGTAGCTCGTCTTTTTCGCGCCCCCTTTTGGAAACTGGAAAATAGCCCTCCGGTTTTGACTCTCACAGTTTTGAATCTAACCTCACAAGTGCAATGTAAAATTGATAAACACCAAAGAGTCCAAATCTGAAAAATCTTTTGGAAAATCGATTTTGAATCAAATTGTTAAAAATGGTCTGCTTTGCCAACTACAGAGTCGCCACGTAAATGTTTTATTTTGGAAAAATTTAGAAAACCCATGACTCATGCCAAAGGTCACATGTCCGTCATCACCAAAAGTTGCCCCCAGCTCAGGAACTTAGGTATGAGAGGGAAATGCCATGAATTGAGCACCCCTACTCGCTCAATCAAAGATCGGCCTCTACTAATCATGATATGTTTTTTTATCAACATTATGTGCTCTTGTCCCGGTTATTAAGCTAGCTTTGCTATGTGGTGTGCACAAGCAAGTATAGACTAGTTTGCTCAAATTAGAACAATTCAATTTCATGTTTGTTTTTACGAAAAGGGTTTCAATTTACCACCTCAAGTGGGCTTAAAGTTTGTGAATTTTCCACCAAACAAAGTGGGCTTAAAACTGATTTTCCACTCAACAAAGTGGGCTTAAAACATACATTCGTTGAATCGTTCCAATTCAAGCAACAAGCCTTCATCCACATGCATTCAAGCAATTTATCAAATAAGTAAGCATTTAGCCACATGGAAAGCATGCTAGTTATGACAATCACTCACACTCATGCAAGTATGTTAAAGCACTAAAAACTCACTTAGTACTCTAAGCTAATAAAATATTAGTTAGAAAAATATGCATGGTTCCTAACTATACAAGATGACTAATGCAACACATGCAATAATCCAATTAGTAGGCTCGGCTACTAATATGGCATGTGATTCAATTAAATAACATGTGGTTAAACACGTATTCAAATAATGTATTAAAATGACAATGCAATTTGAGTGATGCGGCGAGCCTCGGTGCATGCAAGACAAAATGAATGGATGCAAGCATAAAATATGCTAATTGAAACATGACCCTAATCTAACCATCGTAAGTGATTAAATAAAAGGGAGAAAGACGTGGGGTTGGAAAGCATACACATGATTACATGACGCTCTCACAAAGGAGAATCTGAATGCATAAGGCAAACTAACTAGCAAATAAGTAGGGCTAAGCTAATTAAGCTAATTAAGCTAATTAAGCTAATTATTGCAAACCAAATGAAATAAATAGCTAAACTAATTAAATAATTATTACATTACTTGAATGAACTAACTAGTAAGCTAATTAATTAAGTTACAACACAAATATAAGCAAAGTAGTTAAAGTCTCTAACTATGCTGC